TTCAGATCTTGCTGGACTCAAAGTCACAAATAAAGTGTTTGCATCTACGTCCACTGATCCTCTACTGAAGACCAGCGATGTGTTTTCAAAGCTCTTTTCCTCCACTGTTTATGTTTGTTGATTTCACCCCCAAAGCCCTCCGCAGATCTGTGATATCATCTCATAAATGTTTGATAAGGAGCTAACGAAGAGGTAAAGGGACTGCATTCTCAGAGGCAGACCCATTGAAATCCGCAAACACTCAGCAAACTAGAACTTGAACAAGCCTCATTATCCTGCACAAGATATCAAGTTCTGTCACTCTTTTCTCTCACTTGAAAATTCCTCTGTTTTCAGTATTCACACAGCTCAAATTGATCAGTTTGAAAGTGATAGAGAAAATGGTGATATAAGTACAGCCCTTCCTTCAAGCAGTTACCATAAGCTGTCCTTGAGCAAGGCACCCAACTTGCACCGTCTCCTGCAAAACCGCTCACTGGTCGACAACACAGGGACTGGCTCCTCTGTCTCAAGATGTAACCTTAATTCTTGAAAAAAAATAAAATAAAATGTGTCAGAGCTGCTACTCATGTTTCCACCTGTGTGTACCACTTCTCAAACAAGTGTGTGAAATTTTGAAATGATTCAAAGGTTAATCAGCCTCCTACAGAGACCCAACTTCATAGGAGCTATGTGGCATCACATTGGTGTACAACCTCTTTTTTAAATGAAAAACACAAATTTAGAGTGGTGTCTACATTTCAAATACAAACTTTCTCCATAGACATATCTCAAATAATAAAGAAGAGGACAAGCAGGACAAAATATCTGGTGAAGGACTTTAAGACATGTGATTAATTCTATTTTTTAAAATGCATAACCGTTGCACAGAACTTAAACATCTCTTCCTTAACTTTTTAATGATGTTTGCATGCAGATTGCTGGTTTTCTCGGTCCACTTAATATCTAAAAGCAATTAAAATAAAGTCAGTTGTAATATTTAATCTCACTAAACCCACTTTATTGTTGAAAACTTTGTGTTAGTGTAGATTAGTTTAGCGTGTCACAGCAGAAACTTAGACAAAAAATAAAACTGTTGAAAAGATTTGTTGAGCTTCCACATTGCTGGCTGGATGCTGCCCTAAAGGACATGGTTTTGATTGTAGGAAAACTACCAATAAAAAGCACACAAGTGGTTCCAGTTAAGAGCTGTTCGCTTGGATGTGGCTTAACCCCAATGAAAGGACATGATTTAATTACTCTGCAGCTTTAATGCGCCTGATGTTTCTTTAGAAAGCACAGTATATAATCTTTTTTTGAACTGTGATTCATCTTTGGAAAAAAAACACGTTAAAGGAGGAACATTTTCCCCACCAATGACTGAATCATTGAAATTGTCTTCTCATATTAAATGAGTCCTTTACACGCTGACAGTGCAGCTGATCTTTGTGTATTTTGCACTAAGTAGCATCATTCATCTGCATCTTCATCTTTTTTTTAACAAATGTTTGGGTTCATGAAAGAGCACAAGATGTACTGTAGATCCTGTTTCCCCTCATATTTCCTATCACCACTGTGAGGACTCCAACCTTTTTGGGCTTGTGACCCCTTAAATTGAAGCAAAGTCTACCGCACTCATCACGGGTTGCATATGTCAGCTGTGACCAGTTCAACCAAAGATTGTTTTATTTGAATAACTTTGAAAGGCTTGAGGAGATAAAATTATCCAGTAATTCACAAAAAAAGCAAAAGTAAACAATTTTGTGTGGCATAAATTTGTTTTTGCTATTGTCCTATCCTATTTTGTGACCATTCAGACCTTCTTGTTGGAAACCATGGTCTAATACTACAGCATATAAATTGTTTTAGCTGATAGCTATTAGCTATTAATCACTTTTTGTTTTAAGATTTTATGCTTGCTTTTCCTTTTGAATAGTAAATTAAATACCAAGAATACCCCATTTGCTTTCTTCATGTCTTTTAAATTTCAGCATTACTGCACAGTCAGGGTTGTTTTGCTCTGCTAGATTTCCATAAGCTTTAGATGAATAAAAATGTAAACATCTTTGCATCAAACACGTTTCCTTTATCAGAACAACCACAGTCTTTATCTTGCTCAGATATAGCACTCGTACCTGTGAAAAGTTTGCCTTCTGGGGCCACAGTAGCTAATGCATCCTTTTGTTTTCTGTGTGGGCTGCTATCTTTTCTATCTTCTCATGTTTCCTTATTTGGCCTTTCCTGCCAACACATGATTTCTGATGTCACAAGAGTTCAAGATAAAAGATGATGAGAAAGGATGCTCGGGGTGTACGTGAGTCACAAAAACTCTGGACTGAAAAGGCAGTGCGGTGTGAACTTAAAATACAACTCTGATCTGACAAGAATAATCTGACCATTCATAGCAAAGTGTGTGTGTGTGAGGAGAGAGTGAGTGGGTGTCTGTGTGTGTGTGAGAGAGAGAGAGAGACAGAGAGAGAGAGAGAGAGAGAGAGAGAGAGAGAGAGTTTGTAGGTCAGAGTGCCTCTTTCAAGGGGGAGTGTGTTCATTTCTTCCTTTGTTTTTTCTTTCAGTGTGAGAGAGACAAGCAGGCTGACTGCAGCCTACAGCTTTAGGTGAACCTGTGAACCCATATGATGAATGCGCAGACCATCAACACAGATATTCATGGGAAACTGTGTTAAGATCAGTGCGCTGCGGGCTCACATGGTGGCGTGGCCCGCGCAGGAGAGGTGCTGTCTCTCTGGAAAAACAGCTGTCTATATTTAATCAAGGCGAATAAACAAGGAGTTTAAACAACTCATTTATAATTTAGATTTGCATACATTAAAACTGCTCATTTTAATCTTTTTATTAATATGCATTGACAATATTGTATAAATATGCAGTTTTATGCAAATACCAGGCCCCTTTTCTGTTTGTATTTAATTCTGTTTCCCAGCTGTGGATCATCATTTTCATTCAAGGCAACCGACTCAGATTAAGTCACGTATTAAGTCACAGCATGGGAGTGTATAAATATTTCTCAATTAAAAACTCTGAAGACCGGCTATGCTACTGTATCAGCATTAAAAATGCATTGGCATTGGGAGGAAAATAGGGAAAGGCAAGTTACGAGTTGGATAAGAAATCAGAACTTCGAGTCTACATCTTTGAACTATGTTTTTTCGTCTTTCCCTCCCTCAATCGAGTAGTTGCAATAGCTAACAGTTTTTGCTGTTTTGGAGACTGTTACAAAATCTGGGGGATGTAAGGACCAGCCAAAAACATGCTGTGTATCTGTTATTGATGAGCATGCCGTGCCTTCTGATGTTTTTTTAACAAAATGTCCTACATTTTGCTATGTCTTGCCTGAGCTGCCACTTTTCTGTGCATACAAATGAGGAGTTTTGTTCCAAAATGTGAAAACTACCAACTGAACAGTGTGACAACAGCCGCTACAAAAGGACTGGCTGGGTTAGGAGTAAAACTCACAGTGCATAATTACCAAAGTTATTAACTAACTTGATGATGAAGATACCCCCACAAAACAGTAACATTTGATACCAGTAGTATCTTTGGCATTTTAAACAATGAAAATATTGGTTAAACTTTTATTAATAGCTGTATAGTAGCTATGAATCACTAGATGTAAGAAAATGTCAACTTTTAAATGCAGCACTCATGACAAGACACATGTTTAATGCGACCAAATCACAAGAAAGAGAGGGCAGGGTTTCACATACAAGAGGCAGCTGATCCATTGTCTCCATCACCACAGCTGACACAGACAGTACCAACTCACATTTTTTGTGTTTTATGTTGTGTGTTAATCTACATTTTACACAGCTACCTGAAAGGTTGCATGTTGAACAGCTGAAAACACTTAAATGTATTTAATGTTTATTTCTATAAAGTAAGTATACATTATGGAACAACGCTGCATACACAGTACTTTATTTGCTACACCAGTCCCTAGATGGACCGTGCAAACTGAGGATGCATTTGATGGGAGTGTAGCTGAAACAAAGGAACCTATTATTTGTAAATGTCATGATCCTACAATTAATAATTATGCATATTGTGTTATCCTTTAAATTAAAACCTTGGTGAATGTGCACTCATGTGACCAAATCTACAGTATGCTAGGAAACCATCTTTGGAAAAACTCATAAAGAGCAGCACTGATAATAATGAACTGGCTCGACATTAGAGAAGAAAATCCTCTTCCACACATTTGAATGTGAAAATGAGTTCAAAGTGCATCATTGTCATTTGAAGATAATAAGATCATTTTAAACCAGCTGGTGAGAAAAACAAGAGTACAGATTCTCCGCAAACTTTGCTTTAGGATTATGGCTGAGCTCCAAAGTAATGCAGTAGTAATTATCGTTTCAATATGTGAATAAGAAATAAAATCAGAGTAAAACATAATGAAAAGGCAACTCTAGATGCAGCTACTTTCATAAATATTCAGTAGTGGAGGAAAGATTCAGTTCCTTTACTTGAGTAAGTGCAATATCACACTGTAAAAACACAAAATGTAAACATCCTTGATTTAAAATGTTACCACTATACTACTTATAATACTTTTTAAGTTATTTTTGATACATTAATGTGCATGTTGTGTTTTACATTCAAATTAGCTTCACCTTGCGTAACTGCCAAGATGAAGCTAATTTGAATGTATTCATATACTCTTGGGTGATTTATTTTAGAAGCTCATCCTATTCTTTTTTAATGCAAAACCTTAACTATTGCTGTTAGATAAATATTGTGAAATTGTATGGTGTAATTGTATAAAATGGCATTAAATGGAAATACTCAAGAAAAGTACCTCAAATGTGTACTTTAGTACAGCACTGGAGTAAATGTACTGTGTAACGCAGCAGCCGTGTGCAGCCAGGGGACCGTGGATAGTGTGAACACGCCCCTGGAAGTCATGAATAATGCCTGTTCAGCCGAGCTCAGAGAGGTGATGTCTCTTTAAGAAGCTCTGCCGAAACAATCGTACAACCCCCCAACAAGTCATCGGACCTGTCAATCATCCGGTCGGCGCCCTTTGATGTCGGGACTCCTTGCTCTGTCTTGGGCTCAAATGAGCTGTTCGCTGTTGTAGGGAAACATTAGTCCTCTACCAACAACCAGCCGGGGGACGCCACAACTCAACTTTTTTTCTGTATGTCGTGGGGGTTTCTGCACTTTGGAGGCGCCCCAGACTGAGGAGATTTAACAGAAAAAAGTCCCTTGATTCTTCTCTTTATTTATACTTTTTTTTTTGCTATAGTTATTATTATTTCTCTAAAAGTGTATAATCTCGCAGGGGTGGGGGAGAAGTAGACATGCCTCAGCTCAGCAGCGGCGGCGGGGACGACCTGGGAGCGAATGATGAGATGATAGCGTTCAAAGACGAAGGGGAGCAAGAGGAGAAAATCCAAGAAAACGCGTTCACGGAGAGGGACCTGGCCGACCTGAAGTCCTCCCTGGTGAACGAGTCGGAAATAAATCAAAGTCCGAACGCAGCGGTAGGTGGCTCGGAGTGTGTGTGAGTGTTTAAAACACAGAGAGAGAGAGAGAGCGAGAGTGTGTGTATGTGTGTGTGTGTGTGTGTGTGTGTGTGTGTGTGTGTGTGTGTGTATGATGAAAAGGTTGTTTTATTTTACACGCTGCTGACAAGCGTTGAATGAAACTCAAAAAAAAAAAATTGTGAATGTGAATTTCCTTCAGGCTTACAGTAGTAACGTTCCCAGGCTACCAGAGGTTCACTACAGGACAAGTGATGCCGTATCGTAGCAGAATTTAAAAAAACATAAGCTAAAGTACGGTTAGGGTTTCTTTAAACATACACTCTTTGACACTCTACAATACTTGTGTGGTTGTTCTGTCTTCGGGGTGCATCGCCTTTTTCTTTACTTTTTATTTATGGAGTATGTGACTGAGTATGTTATCTGTTGTTGGTCCTATCCAGGCCGTCAGACGGGCACAGCAGGGCGAGCAGAGGGGCTTTCCGGAGAAACACCGGGAGCATCTCGACGTGGGTAAGAAGAAACATTCACACACTGTTCTCTCATCCTGTTCGAGTAGCCAACACTCTCTGAGAAAACAGCTGAGAAGCTACTGTGTCAACGTGAGGAGTATTTCTGTCACGGTGACACGTGTCGAATATTAAAGCCAACTTCATAGAGTTGTAATCAGGTGTACACTGCAAAATCTGTCCATCGTGTCGTAAATTCTCCAGCTTATCTCTCGGATCTATCATGCATGTCCTCAGTGTCTGTTTCAAATTAGCATGCCCCCAGAAAGATTCAAGTAAAAAATGGCCTGCTTTAAATGTCTTAATAAGTTATTTGGTGAAACATGGACTCTGAAAGTCTCTTGGCCTTATCAGGATGAGGTAAGGTCACTGTTCTGCAGCTCAAATCAACTTATATCAAACATTTTCAATATATTGTGGTCATACTGCTAATATGAGCTGCCCAGAGCTCATGTATCTAAATGCATTCTTGGATTTTTTGCAGTGTAGCTTATGCCAGACTTTGCCAAAAGTGGGGTCAACCAGGGTCCTTAAAAAGGTTTATTTGAACTTTTTTTGGTCTTAAATGTTGCCCCCCAAAGGTACAAAGAAATTTTACTTTTCCCTCCCTCAAGAAGGCACATATTGAAAATGTATGCATGGCAGTTTTAATTACAGGTGTCACTGTGGGCTTTACTCTATTTTGTTAACTCAATTCAGTCATTTCTTAAAGGAAAACGTTCTTTTGAGCAAAATCTTCCACATGTGAATCTGTGCTTTCAGATGGAAAAAAACATTACAGCTCTGAATGATGGTGATTGCAAAACTGCATTAGTTTTGTATTCTGTCACCTTGGTTCTGGCCACATTAAAAGTTGTGGCACATTCGCTTGCAAAGCTTGTAATGACAACGCTGGAACAGTAATAAAAAGTTTAGTGTGTGTCTGCGTGTTTCACATAGACCAGGTATACCCTAGTTATAACTGGCCCCACAGAGAGGCCTCTGATGCTTAATATGGGTGGTAGAGAGAGATAAATTAACACATAGGCTACAGGAGTTCACGCCTCTCAGGTTAGGTGACGGTTGTAACGCTTTTGTCTCCTGTCAGTGCTCATACAAGGATATAACATGTAGGAACCAGAACACTTGTAAATACTTGAGCTACTTTGTATGCACCTTTATTTTATTTTGTCAGGCTTTCCTTTTTGTTTTGAGGCATACAGCTAAATCTTAAAGCAGTGTTGTGGGAGTAAGTATCTGATTTTTATTTAATTTTAATCCTAATAAGGTGCATACAATGATTCATGCATAGCTTCTGTTATTCCATAAGCAATTGTAACTTATAATTTGAATCAAATTTACAATTATGCCATACTGACACACGTCCTCTCAGAGACCAAACCAAAGGAGTTTCGCTAGGAAATTATGAAAAAAGTGACAACTTCTACAAACTGGCATTATAAATGGTCCCAATAAAAGTGAATTTCAAACTCATTTGTTGTTTTTCATGTCTTCAGTGTCGAAGCACCAAGATGGAGGCATGTACAAGACTCCGACGTATCCGGGGTATCCGTTCCTGATGCTGCCTGACCCCTACCTCCCCAACAGCTCGGTTTCTCCATCTGTAAGTCCACTTCTGTTTTAATTCTCCTGCTGGCTTTAGAGCACTGGTCACTGTTTGTGTCCTCATTGTTTCTTGTGTCAGCAGCTGAGGGCAGGCTGAGGTCCTTATCTGCCCCTCTTTACATCTTACTTTGGACTCCAGTGCAAGTTTGTGCACTTCGGCTACTATTTGTATTCTTTGGCATCACGTCCAAATGCTGAACACATGGTTTTGTGCTTCAGGAGTGAAACATAGTTTTATTTGATTAACTTTTTAATAAAATTCTACGTTGGTGGTGATGCTCTTGCCATAGTAGCTAACCCCTGCTGAAGAAATAATCAGAAAGACAAAAACATACACTCAGGCATGGAAATATTTTGAGCCTGGTAGCTGCTTTTATTTTTGGCTGAAGCAAATAGACCCTTAGTTAGTAGCCAGAATTCAATAGTAATAAACAGAGACAGCATGGACATGAGAGACAATAAGTGATAGTGATTTTTGTTTCTGGCATAAACATTTCTTCTTTATATTTTTGCTTTTTACTTTGTTGTGCATCTAGTCCTGCAAATCAGCAAACCTCCACTCACATCAACCTATTGGATGGGATTGGTTTACTATGGCATCAGCTATAATATTTAAAACATTATACTTCTCACAAAAATAGCATTTTCTATCTCTATGTACAGGTTTCTTTACTGGCTCCTTTGTGGATAAATCAAATTTTCTGAGGGAGTTGAATTAAAGTAGATTAATCTCAGTTTCCTGCCTCTTTTTCTCACATTTGTGAAATACAAATAGTAGTTGGGCTACTCTTGGGTTTTTCTGCTGTTATGCTTCTTTTAGGTTATGAAACCATTTATTTCAGTACACTACTCGGACGAGCCTGTAGTTTAGTACAGTGATGGTTGATTTATGTTCGAAAGAGGCAAAAAGAAGCAGTGTCAGCGTGAGATCCCAGTCGCACATCTGCATCAGTCACAAACTTTACATGTGTTTTGATTTGCCTTTGAACTGCACTGTTTCCCCCCTCAACTGCCTTATGGAATAAAGCTGTATTTAGAATGTGCTTTCCCTCATGAGCCTCAAGAAGCAGAGCAGAAAAAGAGCTTGTTTTTGTTTATGCTTTTGCTGAAGTTGGAATATGATTGATGTCGTCATAGCGACTCGTTTCACACGACATTTTTCATCTGTTTGTGAATGACAAGAGGTTTGTTGCTGCCTTAATAACTGTTCTGAGTGTTAAACCGCTAAAACAAACACCAGAAAGACTCAGGGAGGGATTTGAAGTATGCAGTATCACTCATCTAGCCAGACAGCCCCTAAAAAATTAATCATAAAATCCCTTCAAGTCACCCGTAAGAACCAATATCCATGGATAGGCTGACTAATTGCACCAAACATGAGCGGTTGTGCTTAATTCATTTTTCACGTGCTGTGTAATCCTGTTGCCTGAATTAACCCCCTGCTCTAGCAGGCGAGACATTGCTAAACAGCAGCTGCCTATTTATGAGATCACATGTACTGTAGGCTGATCTAATGTGAGGCACAGTGAATTAGGAATTTGCTGTATCACAAAATGGCCAGAAAATGTGATTTGCTAATGACATCTTTTAAGTCTCTGAGAGTATTTTAGCCCACCGTCAGCCCAAGTCTGGGTCACGACCCAGCAGTTGGTCATGGGAGAATTTAAATAGGTCATTGAAGGGTCAAAAAATAATGACTATGACATCTCCTAGTAAAAATAAATCCATTAAAAATACCTCAAGATCCCCACATAAAAAAATTAAAGGTCTCGTCTATAAGAAAATAAACTTAAATTTCAATGTTATCGCTTCTGTGAAAGTTGCTTCTTTTCTCGACCACAGTTGCATTGCATAAAGTTAAATGAAATATCAAATAGAGCTTCAAAATAAATGTAGGGAACTCTTTTTATGCCCTCGCTTTGACAATAAATAGCTTTTGTACCCTCTCGTTGACCTTAAACTTTGAACTTTTAGAAAAAATCACTCGCCTGAGAAAAGGTAGCAGTGTGTTCTTACAGTGTTTTTGTTTTTTTTGGAAAGAAAATCTTAGACTATTCCTCCACCTTTTTGGTTCTTGGATTTACACGTAAAGGTACATTGTTTGTGAGAGAGGCAGGTCTGTTCATAAACCTCCACTGTGATTGAGAACATAATTGAATGAACTACTCGTACGAGAGAGCGTACTCGTATTTCCTTAAACATCTTTATACTCAACAACGTATAACACAGCACATCCGGCATCGTGTTAGACAAACACAGTGAGCGAGGGTGCTGGTATGTGTGGCTCATCAGTGTGTCTCCTCTTCTTTCACCCTCGTTTCACAGTCTTCTCTTCTCTTTCTCCAACCCTGGAGTGCCAACCGCAGAGCCTCTCAGAGATTGTTTTTGTTGAGGGTGGGATAGTGGGGTGGGTGGGGGGTTGGTGGTGGCAAGATAAAGAGCACTTTCTTTCCCCGTGTGTCTTCGAGACTCCACACAATGCTCACTTGTTGCTGCTTCCCTTGTAATTAGCCCGCTGGTTGTGAGGCGGTAGCGCCGAATCAGGCCCCGTCTACCTGCCACTTGAAAGGGTTGAGAACAGTGGTTTAGAGGGAGGGGGGGTGATGATTATGGATGGAAGAGATGGATCGGAAACTATAGGTCTGGGAGACCGTTTGGTATTTTCCTAGTGTTGTGGTGTTAATATAGGACAAGGCAACACAATGTTACATGTCTTGTGTGTGTCCATGTCTGACTGCTGTCTTTCTGCCTTTATATTATGATCTGAAAGTTTCCCTCTTTACTGCTAGTTTCTTATAGTCTTGGCAATTAGTTGTGAAGAAGCTTGTCCATTTTATGTTTTTAAAGAATCATTTCATTTGTTAAATGTCAGATAATATTGAAGATTTCCCAGAACACAATGTGACGCCATCAGATTGCATTTTTTTTATTTGAAAAGCCTTACAAAACCCAAAGATATTTAATTTAACAATGATGTAAAATGCAGCAAATACTCAAATTCAAAGAGATAGAAGTGATTAGTCGGTGGATAATACTTGGATAATAGATTACCTGCTTAAGTGATTTTATTTTAAGTATGTTTTTATATCATTGGAAACTGGAGATCTTTGAGTTGGTCAGACATCACAAGGCATTTGAAGATGTTACCATGGACATGGAAAATGTGAGGGATAGTTTTCTGATGTTATAGGCCAAATACTGATTCAAAATAAAATGTAGATTAATTGATAATAAGTTAATTATAGCCCTAATTCTGTTTCTATTATGCGAGGAAAAATCTTTCTTGGTTGTCCAAAATTGTGAATAATGTTTGCAACCAGTTTAAGAGGCAGTGACGGTAATCTTCCACAAGTCAGTGGGAGACATTCAGCATTTACCAGCTGAACAAAAACAAGGGCAATTTCTGAAAACCTCCGTGGGTTCCTGTAAACTGCTTTTAACTGTTTAAACTCATTATGAGAGCATCAGCTGAATGACTGCAAGTCAAATATTAATTGTAATATTTGTCTGTCTGTATCATTCCCTCCTCTCCCCTGGGTACACTGTGTGGGTTTATCTCTCGTTGTATAAGACTGATCAAATAATTTCAAGGTTTTTTCCCAGATTTTTCAAATTTGGTCATTCTACCTTTTGAAAAAAATATAGTTTTTAATTTTCATGTCCCATATTGAAGGATTGAATGAGAATCTGTCCAAGGACATCAAGCATTTGTCAAAGTTTGATCTCGACCATCGGGGGTCACGTTGCATTTCGGGCAGAAGCAAAAAACATCACAATTCCCAGTGCTTTTTGTTGTTCTGAAAACATATAATTTGTCATATTCACCCGAACCGTTTGAAAGAGACAAAAAGACGGATAAATGACACCCCTTATTGTTCTGGAATTAATGTGAACATAAAAAAACAAGCTCCTAATCTCTGTCGAGAAGTGAAGACTGCACACTGGAGAGTCTGCTGCAAAGTGTTTCCCCTCTTTCTTCCATTCAGCGATAATACTCCTATTACAGCATTTCATGGGACATTTCACTGTTGTTATATAAATGTAGATATCAGCTGTCCTTTCAGAGGAAGTGGCCAAACAGGGAGATTTGTGGGATTCGGAGATATGGCTAAACTCCCTCAGCTTGTTGTCTTTGGATAAAGCTTTATCCGGAGTGTGTTTGTGTGTGTTTGCTGTTTAAGTTCATTACACTAAGTAATTTGTATGTATCTAAGGCTCTGGCATGTTTTCTGTGTGTGTACATCTGCATGTTTTCTCGTCAAGTTTGTTGCCGTAGGCTTGTGCTATCCAGCGTTCATGGTGTGTTTTGTGTGCTAATGTTTGCTGTATGGTGTGTGTGTGTGGGTATGTGTTTGTATCCAAAGTTTGTGGATGCAGATGTGTGTGTGTGTGTGTGTGTGTGTGTGTGTGTGTGCGTGCGTGCGTTAGACCTTTCGCTGGCTGTGTGTATAATGCTGTGGGTTACCAGCAGACAGTGTTTTTGAAGGGATCATGAGTCTTTGTCATCTCGAGGAGTCAAACCCCCGCGGAGGAGGGATCTTCCTCACATCTTTCTCCCAACTCCTTTTGAGCTTTGCCTTTTCCACCTATTCATCTCTTTTCTTGCCTGTGTTGCCTTCTTCATCCAAGCTGATTCTAAGCATCTGTTTGCTCCAATTCACATTTTCTCACTGTGTTAGATAACTTCATGGTATTTGTGAACTATGAAAAAGGAGAAGGCCGGGAAGCGACAAAGCTCACTCACTTTGAGTTACAGGGTGGTATGTCAAGCAACTTACTGAATAATAGATTGTAAAGGTATTTTTTATGGTGAGTGGACAGAATGAGTCAATGGAAGAAGGAATAGAGGAAAGCAGAGAGGAGCTGGGAAAGGGGTAGATGAAGAACTGACTCTTAATAGATGTGCATCACGTGAGATTTTGGTTATTGCAATGTGCATTAATATCGGCTTACAATTAATCAAATGACCATACCTTCGTGCATACTTTTGCATTTACA